TCCGTGTTTAAACTTTTGAGGAACTGCAAGACTGTTTTCCAAAGTGGCTGCATCATTTTATTTTCCCACTAGCAGTATACAAAGGTTCACATTTTTCTGTAATGTCACCAATGCTTTTCATTATCTATCTTTTTAATTATTGCCTTTCTAGTTTGTGTGAAGTGGTGTCAGAAGGAATAGGTTTTTTTTTTTGGTTGGTTTTGTTAAGAGATGGGGTCTTGCTGTGCTGTTGAGGCTGTAGTGCAGTGGCTATTCACAGGCATGATCATAGTGTACTGCAGCTTCAATCTCCTAGCCTCAAGCAATTCTCCCACCTCAGCATCTCAAGTATGAAGGGATCGTTTTAATGATGATATTTGTAATTACAATTTTAGATACTGCTTTTGGGGAACAGCTAATCCCAATCTTATATAAATTGACTCAGAGAACAGAAAAAGAGGGAAAGTTACTTTACCTGTTTATCAGGCAAGTTTAGCATTTAAATCTAGAATGGAAAGACTATACAAGGGAAAGTATACTACATTCAGTTTTACTTATGAACACAGACATAACAATTTTAATTGGGATAGGAGTTTAGGATAGTTCAGTGTTTGAAAACTGTATCAATTTAATTTATAAGAAAATTTAGGAAAAAATTCTAGATAAATTTGGTAAAACTATATGTTAAAACTCAATACCCATTAAAGTTTTAAAATACCACTCTTACACTATGAACAGAAATGAACTTTTTTTCTTACAGTAAAGGCTACCTTTCAAATAGCAAGCATCATGCTTAATAGTGAAACTTCGGAAACATTCTCATTAAAGCCAAGTATAAGACAGATACATCTCTATCAATAAACAAAAAAGAAAGAAAATCCAAAAGGATTGGAAAGGAAGAGAAATGAAATGAGATTCTTCCTAGAAATGTTAAAAGAAATGAACGTACTGTTTGTATTAATAAAAGAATTCAACATTGCTGGATACAAGGTCAGCATTCAAACTAGCAGTAGCCAATTAAAAAATAAAAAATATCTCCTTCATATTGAATTCTATAAAGTACCCAACATTTTATTGAAGGACATAAAATTAGACATGAATAAAAGGCAGGATATATTATATTTTTGGGTGGGAAGTTAAAATTTATTTAGTAGTAAATATTACTGAAAAATTACTTTGTGAATTTTACGTAGTTTCAGACAAAAATCCTAGTATGATTTTTTTGTGTGTGTGGAAAATGACCATGTACAAAATTAAAGGTTCAAGAATAAGCAAGATAGTTTTGGAAGAAGAAAAAGAATGAGGAGGAACTTGCTCTGTTGGATGTCAAGATGAATTTAAAAATTATGGTATTTAGCCCCGGGCGTGGTGGCTTATGCCTGTAATCTCAGCACTTTGGGAGGCGGAGGCGGGTGGATCACCTGAGGTCGGGACCAGCTTGGCCACCATAGTGAAACCCCATCTCTACTACAAAAATTAGCTGGGCATGGTGGCATGTACCTGTAATCCCAGCTACTTGGGAGACTGAGGTGGGAGAATCGCTTGAACCTGGGAGGTGGAGGTTGCAGTGAGCCGAGATCGTGCCATTGCACTCCAACCTGGGTGATAAGAACGACACTCCGTCTCAAAAAATAGAAATAAAAATTATGCTATTTAGATTTAAATACTACATACAATGACAAAGAACAAACTGCTATGCATAACATGGGATGAATCTCTCCCAGACTTAATGTTGAATGAAATTAGCGAGACACAAGGAATACATATTGTACGGTTTCATTTACAGGAAGCTCAAAAACAAGTAGAAATAATCTGTAGTGATAGAGATGAGAATTGTGGTCATCTTGGAAGCATGGTACTGATTGGGAGGGATCATGAGGGAGCCTCCTGGAGCATGAGGAATGTTAATAGTTTGGCCTGAGCTGAATCACACAGGAGTATATGTTTTTAAAGGTCAAGCTGTACATTCAGTATTTGTGTGCTTTACGTAAGTACCTCTGTTAAAAAAATTATGGCACTTGAAGTATAGTATTAGTACAGGAAAAGACAAACTAATAAAAGAGAGAGTTCAGAAATGGATTCATACATATTTGGAACATTGGTAAAGGCTAGAAACATTCCCTGGCAGTAAGGAGAGAAAAAATAGACTCTCAAATTGGTTTTCTAGATGGGGGGAAAACTAGATCTCTGCTTCAAGCAATATGTGAAAATAAATTCCAGTTGAATTAAATAATACACGTGAAAAACTATTTTTTAGAAAAAGGATAATATAGATGAGTATGCAACTTTAGGATATAGAAGATCTTTAACAAGTCAGGAAAAGAAGAATGAACCATCAAGGATAAAGACATTAAGGGTAAATGATTTTGCTGCCTCAAAAAGAAAAACTTGAGTTTAATAGAAGACATTAGGCTGGGCTTGGTAGTTCACACTTGTAATCCCAGCAATCTGGGGAGACCAAGGCAGGTTCACTTGAGGTCAGGAGTGCAAGACCAGCCTGATCAACATGGTGAAACCCTGTCTGTACAAAAAATACAAAAATTAGCCAGGCATGGTGGCACGTGCCTGTAGTCCCAGCTACTCAGAAACCTGAGACACTAGAATCGCTTGAATCCAGGAGGCGGAGGTTGCAGTGAGCCGAGATTGTGCCACTGCCCTCCAGCCTGGGCTCGAAAAAAAAAAAAAAGACATCATAAACCAAACTAAAAGATACATGACATATCTAGGAGGAGACACACACAATGTCTTTAATATTCGGTGGATTTGTGTCCAGACTATATAAAGATCAAAAGAATAAGATGATACACATAAAATGAACAATGGATATAAAGGCAATTAGCAGCAGAGGAAACGGAATTGGAATGGCTAATGAACTAGAAAGATGCTTAGTCTCATTTGTAGGGAAGTGCAGTTGAAAACATGAGCTATCAATTTTCACCCATTAGATTGCAAAGCTTAGGATGGGATGTTATACAGTTGAAAATGTGCATACTCTATTATCTAGCAGTTAATTACTATTCAAGGTATTAGTCTAGAGAAACTTGAACACTTGCCCAAGGAGGAATGTACATGGATATTCATGTGGAAAAAATAATCTAAATGCCTGTCAGTAGGAAGGCATGGATAAAGAAGATATAATTATACAATGGAGAATTACCTAGATCTATATTTAGGCTATTATTAATTAGTATTTATTTCAATTTAAGAAACACTTTGTACTTTCTATGTCCAGGTTCTGTATTGTTTTAAGCCCTTTATGAATCTTAACTGTTGTAATCCTCATGAAAAGTCAGAAAGAGGTACTATCATCATATTCATTTTGCATATGGGAATACTGAAGCATAGAGGGGTAAATAATCTCCTCACTCTCATAGCTAGTAAATAGCAGAGCCAAGATTTGAAGGTAGGATTGGAACCTAAATTGTCTGGCTTCAGAGTCCCCTATACCATGCTACCTTTTGATGTGTATGAATATGGAGATACCTCCTAAATGTAAGGAAAAGTTCATTTCAGAATGATGTGTATAATGTGATCTCATTTACCCAAACTTATGACAGTGGTTGCCTCTGGATGTGATTGCAAGGTGAGGGAGATACACTGATGATGGTGAAAGGAAACTAGCTTTATGGAACTGCATGCTTTTCCTTAAAGAAGATGTATATTACTTTATAGCTTTTAAAATACTTATATGGAATATAGGTATGTGCTTATTTTTGCAAAAAGAAACACTGGAAAGATTGACCTTTGTTGTTTTAATCTTCATTTCTTCTTGATACTGGTTTATGGTAGAAAAAGAGATTAGCTTGGTTCTGATGCAGTAGAGCAGCAGATAAGCACTGGGTGCTAGGGATAGGAAGGAATAGTTTTCAGCCTCTCTCTTTAAGGAGTTCAGCTTTACAGGGAAAGAGATAAGGAAAATAATTTTGATTCAGTTGATACATGCAAATCTGTTTTCTGCCTTGTTTCTCTATCCTTGTCACTTTCCCTCCAAATACAAGTAGGAGAAGGAGGAAATGTCTTGATTTGGAGCACGGGAAACAGGCAGTGAAACACTGATGAAGATCCCACTTCTATTATTTTACAAAACTACCAGAGTGTAAACTCTGTAATGGTCAGATATCGTAGCTTGTTCACCATCTTATCTCCAACATTTAGTATAATGCCTTTCGCTTAGTAAACTCCTAGAGATGTTTGAATGGATAACTGATGCACTTTCAGATGTCACTCTCAAATTAAAGCATCTTAACCCAAAAGTTCTCCTTAAACTGTTTGAGATACCTTCCATTGATACCATTTCTTCCATTGGTTGTCAGGCACTAAGGTAATTTAACTGAGAATGCTATATAACCTTGAATTGTTATGTGCCAAAGAATTCTGACTTGAGTAATGTTTTAATCTGTAGGAAATGTTGGGTCCCAAAAATCTGTTTTATTTTTAACTGTGCTGAGTCTAATCCTTTTTTTTTAAGCTAATAGTCTTTTAATATTGGAATAGTACAGTTGGTTTTCTCAGTCAGTATTACTGTATTCTGTGTATTTGAGTTAGTGCTAGCTTGTAAAACTGTTATGTTCTGTGTTTTGAAATTCGCAATTTCCTAAAACCACATTTTCTTCAAGTTTTCTGATAGGACCATAGACTGTTTCTGGATGGTATTAGTGTTTATAATACGAGAATTCTAGTGCCTTTTGAAATCTGTTATGGTATTGCATAAAAAGTAATGGTACTATTTTATTTCATCCTAGTGAGAAAGGTGTGTGGATTTTCTGGTGGTAAATTGGAGTCCATGTATGTGTGATCCTCCCAACAGAGTGAATTTAAATATCTAAAGATTACTGAGAAAGGATAAACTTGAATAAATCATAGTGAACAATGTTTATGTCACTTTTTAAAGTTTTAACACTTGTAATTGAGTAAATCCTGAAACAAAGCATATTATTATGTTTGATAGATTTAAACTATTGGTCAAATCCTGTTCCATGTGTACATAGTGTTTCTTTCTTACTCTGTAACCCTTTTGCCAGAGATAACAGGAAGAGAGCCTGGTTACCACTGGGTGGAACAATCCTGCCGGCTCAAGCCTCTGCCTAGAAATTTGGGTCATTCTCTTTTTTGGACAGTCTGGTAAGCTGTCACTGTTTTTCACCTTAAAATCATCTTGTCGAAGATGTACCCAAGAGGAAATTAATACTAAAGGAACAAACAATATTAAATTCAACGAAAACGTTAAAATAGACGAAATTAAACATGGCTAATCTAGAATTGCACTGTGAAGTGTTTTTTTATATGAAGTATTCAAAATCAGGGTATATTTTACAGTTATAGCACACCTTAACTTGAACTAGCCACATTTTAAGTGGTCGGTACCCACATGTAGTTCCTGTATTGAACAGCACAGACTTAGAGCATTTGAAAAAAGGTTTGGTGTTGTGTAGTTCTGCTGTTTGAAAAAAGCTTTGGTGTTACGTAGTTCTGCTGTTACTCCTCAATAAAGGTGCCTCAGCTATCTTTTCTTTTTTTATTGCTTCATCTGTTCATGGGCACTCATCTTAACTATTAATCATTTGTAGTCTGAAATCCTGCTATCCATTTCTGAATTTTACAGAGCATTTAGGGCTTTCCATAAGTGTTCCCTGATACCTAGATCTACTTAATTTCTTTAGATAAAATGTGATGTTTCATTCTGATAAACTTTTGTTTTGAGACAGGGTCTCGCTCTGTTGCCCAGGCTGGAGTGCAGTGGTGCGATCTCAGTTCACTGCAACCTCTGCTTCTTGGACTCTAGCAGTTCTTGCACCTCAGCCTCCCAAGTAGCTGGGATTACAGGCGTGAGCCATCAACACTTGGCTAATTTTTGTATTTTTTTTGTAGAGACAGAGTTTCGCCATGTTTCCTAGGCTGGTCTCAAACTCCTGAGCTCAAAGTGATCCACCTGCCTCAGCCTTCCAAAGTACTGGGATTATAGGCTTCATTCTGATAAGCTTTTAATCAGAATATTGGCTCTGCTTTTTGTCAGAATATCAGACCCTCTACGTGGGCTAGAGTAGGTAGGATTATAATTATCATCATCTCTCTAAGGAAAGGTCACTAACTTCTTTTTTGCTTTAAAGTCATTGCTCTGAACCAGAAGGATTCCTTACATGGTGACTTATATTTTTATAAGGTGAGGCCCAACATTTCACTCTATGGGAGTTGGATATGCTTTCCCTAGATACTAATTGCTGAGAGGTTTTCGAATCAACTCATTTTGTTTTTTACTTTTTTTCCTAGTAGATACTATTTGAGAGTGAACGTATTGCAAAGTAGAACCATATCTAGTTTGGTATACCAAGGTATGACATAAGTGACTTAATATTTTGGTAGTCTGTTGCTTTCATCTGTCCTAGATGAGGGACAGTTTAGAAGATTATTTTCAGCAAATGAATTTATAACTTCTAATACTAGTTATCCATGTATCCCAATAGCAACTGAATTTTCTATAATTTATTTCAAATACTCTCAGACTTTACTCTTGTAAGGGAAGATTAATTGGACTCTGATTATATAAATGTTAAGATAGTAAGGTTTTGGGTGTTACGTGTTTTCTTATGTTGATTATTGTTTAATTTCTATACCCATTGTTAGTGTCTAGTTTTTCTCAGCCTACCTCTTTGTTATACCACCTCTATTCCAGCAGAATCTCAAACGCAATTTTAGTTCTTCCCAACCCTATTATCCAGGCATACATATTACTTATTGGGCATTTCCCTGCATAGTTAGTGCAGCATTTAGCTGTTACTTACCCCTGAGAAGATAGTAGTGTGGAATTAGCAGTGGCAGGATGTGGAATTAGCAACAAAGTTCCTGGCTTGGAGTTGAAGTGAAGCAAAGAATATTATTCTTCTTCTCCCATCTACTATGATCACACATTCTATTTAACTTCATTGCCCCTAGCTAGATGAAAGCTGATAGCTGCTAATTTTTGTCACTGGAGTGTTGGACAAATTTTTGAGTTAGAGGAGGGTTCATAGCCAAAGGAAGAACAGCAGTCAGCCTAGAAAGAACACTGGGCAGCACATGGCAGCAGTGACTGCGAACAACCTGCTAAACAGCAGGCTGGGGTTAGAGCAAAGGAGCACTATAATAATTTTCTTACTTATATTTTCTGTACTCTAGTTCTGTCTATTGTCATGACACTAATTTTTGAAAAAATTCTCCTTTTAAACTCATCACTATTTACTGAGGACAACGAAATGTGAGGTACTTTCTTAGAACTGAACAAAACAGACACTGCCTTCTCAAGTGGTGATTACTTGATACCCTCTTGAAATCTTTAGTAACTCTCCATTCCTGTTTAAATCTCCACTGCCCTCAGGTCCAAGTCAGACTCATCAGCTTTGTCTTTGAGCTTCAGCAGGGACAAATGGCTGGTGGTATTGGTTTGCTCATAGTCTTGTTTTGTTTAGTCCCTTCAATGTTGGCCTGTACCATGTTTCAAAGAAATTTAATGGCTATCATTACAAAATCAAGAGCTTTCACTTGGAATTTCATATTTCCATCTTCTTTTTTTTAAAAAGGAAGATGTAGCGACACTGAGCTACCTTTGTTCATTGCAACAATCTGCACCATTTAGTTGGGGCTTTTGCTTTCCACAGTCCCTGTTGCCTCCAGGGTTTTTCTTGTACCTGGTCCTCTTTATTCCTTTTTATTACTTACCTACTCTCTGTAGATAATTCAACTTGCAACCCTTGTTCTAGATAATCTGGTCCCTCACTACTATAAACTAACTTTCTTTTCTTTATTATGAAACTCTGGTATAACCAAAGGGACATCCTCTTTAACATGTTCCACACTCCTTAACATGGCTTGCAAATCGTTTCATGTTCTGGTTCCTGTTTATTTCTTCAGCCTTACCTCTTTCCATTCACCTGTATAAAGTTATGTCCCAGCCATATTTGTCACCCACTTATGTGTGCTCTCCTCTTTCTGACCTTTACACACATGCTAATCTCTTAATCTCTGGGTGCTGTTTTGCCTGTCCTCCCATTCTTTTTTTTTTTTTGAAATGGCGCCTTGCTCTGTCACCCAGGCTGGAGTGCAGTGGCGCGATCTCGGTTCACCTTACTGCAACCTCCATCTCCTGGGCTCAAGCAGTTCTTCTGCTTCAGTCTCCCGAGTAGCTGGGATTACAGGCGTGTACCACCACACTCGGCTAATTTTTGTGTCTTTAGTAGAGACGGGGTTTCACCATGTTGGCCAGGCTGTTGTTCTCCAACTCCTGACCTCCGGTGATCCACCCACCTCGGCCTCCCAAAGTGCTGGGATTACAGATGTCAGCCACCGTGCCTGTCCCTGTTCTCCCATTCTCTGTCGCTGCCGCAGTAACCCCTGCCTCCCACTCCTACCCACCACCAGTTTAGTTAATTTCTATTCACTTCAATTCTTAATTTAGGTGTTATATCCTTCAGAAAGCCTTCTGTGCTCCTATAGGATCTGCTTAGGTACCCATCCTCTGTATTTCCATAACTGCCTGAATTTAACCCAGTCTCAACACACCATGACTGGTTTGATGGTCTGTTCTCTACAGTGTTCTGTAGCCTGTTTCAGGGCAGAACTGTGTCTTCACCTTTGATTTCTAATGCCCATCATAAAATAGGTACATTGTAAGTATGTAATGAATGGATGATTCACTAGGCTCTTTTAATAATCATTAATTCTGAGCGTATGTGGTTTCTATTGTACGGAATATTGTTTTCATCCTTTCAACTCTTCATCCTCTAAGCTTCTACTAGGGGACTGACTATCCCTAACAAGATACTTCTTTTCCTGGCCTGTTTTAGTACCAGGCCTTTTCCTTCTTTAAATTCTGGTAATACTTTTTAGAAATCTTGTTTTAGCATTTGGCATTTGTTTCCTGTATGTTACTTTAAATTGAAGTTACATTTAATGCCACAATTTCATTCTTAAGGTATTAAAATTTGTCAGTAACCTGTGCTTTACGTGATAGTATATTGCCAGCTAAAATAATGTATCCACTGATTAGATCGATTCATGAGTCAAACCTTTATTACTTTCTTGGATATTGTTCCTCATTTACAGAGAACTTGGACATCTAGCCAGAAGTTTTTCTCTCTACCTAGGTTTCTTTATCCATTTTGAACTTCTCCCATAATAGCACTTAGTGGATGTACTTCAATTGCTTGTGTATTTTTGTGTTTCTCACGCTGAACTATAAGGGCTGAAATGGTATCATATTAAAACTACCTGTTGGTATAATGTTTTAACTAATATTGGAGTTTAGAAGATCTTGATGTTCAAAAGACGTGTTTGATATATGTCTATAAAGTGTTTTCAGTAAGCTAGGCATGATCATCTCATTTATTTACATGTGGACTATTAGTTACACAGCTTCATTTGCGTGTCTTCTAGACATCTCAAACTTACGCAAAATTGAACTTACGTATGTTTGCATGCGTGAGTATTTCTGTATACCTGTAACATAGGGCTTAGACCATAGGTAGTATTTAGTAAATGTTTATTAAGTGAGAATGACTGTACAACACCAAAAAATTTTTATGTTACTGATTTAGAATATTATAGGACATAGTTAGGTATATAAGAATGGCTTAGATTTATTTATTTATTTATTGTGCAGTGGCACAATCTCAACTCACTGAAACCTCTGCTTCCTGGTTTCAGGTAATTTTCCTGCCTCAACCTCTCCTGAGTAGCTGGGATTACAGACGCTTGCCACCACACCTGGCTGATTTTTGTATTTTTAGTAGAGACGGGTTTTCACCATGTTGGCCAGACTCGTCTCGAACTCCTGACCTCAGGTGATCTGCCTGTCTCAGCCTCACAAAGTGTTAGGATTACAGGTGTGAGCCACACTGGCCAGCTTAGATTTATTTTACTTCACAACTTGTAGCGTAGAGCTTTGCAGGGCTGGAAGTTGCTCTGGGTGAGTCATTGAGTGAGTAGTGAATGAATGTGAAGGAAGGCCTAGGAAATTACTGTAGATTTTATAAACACTGTACAGTTAGGCTACACTAAATTTATTTTAAAAATTTTATTCATTCAGCAATAAATTAACATAGCTTAATGTAATGTTTTTACTTTATAAGCTTATTATTAATTTTTTTTAC